AATATTGTTTCTTTTACTTAAAAGATTAACAAAACCCATTTATTCTCTCAAAAAGTCTGTCACATTAACCACAAGACACTATGCCACCACTAAACAAAATAACTATGATCACTAAAAACTCATTTTCATGTCAGGAAAGAAACACCATGCCCAGTGTTTCAAGGCTGCTGATTGAATATTGGAGTATTTCAAGTATAAGACAACCTTCAAATGCAGTCTCAAACCTATTAGGCCTACTCTGTTAGTCTATTAATATTCTTTAACTTCCATCTTTTGGCAGTATTGAGCAAGCATCACATCTCCAATCGCATTTCAGGAAACGATACTGTGTCAGTGTCACCGGCCAAAATAAGCAAGAACCTAAACATCAGCATATGTTCAAACAGCAGAAGTTGAGAACAAATAGAAAAAAACCACATTTTTTATAAAATGTAAAAGTATCGATATCTTACACCACTGAATCTCTTCAGGAATGAGAAAAATCAGACACGGCCAACTGGAAAAGCAGGTAAAATGGCAGAGTCAGTCATTAAAAACATGTACCAATTCAGCTATACTCACACTGTGATAGCTGTCTTAAAAGTAGACACATAGTGACTCTGATAACTTGGCTAACCTTCACAGGGAAAAAGAGTGACACTGGCAATGACAAAGACTACAGCCAAAATAAAGATCAGGTCATTAAGGAGGGTTGAGCATCAGTTGCACACTAACTGATCAATGAGGTGCTGCGAACAGATCAGACACGTCAAACTGAAATTAAAGACGACATGACCAAATTGTTAAGACGACAGTACAATATAAGTCACAAAAACCAGTGGCATAGCCAAATCTGAAAAAGCTAATGGGAAAGGAAGGTATTATATGCAACCAATTAACACTTGAAACAAAAAGCCATTTACTTCTTGGAAGTTAAACACTTAGCAAAACTTCTGCAATTTAAAATTAATCCAAAGAACAGAACATATTTTACCAAATTATTTTATAGAATAATATTTAATGTACATGCAGCATACCACACAAGCACTCGCCCTTGAAGGCTGATTCTTTGAATTACAGAACCAAAGTTTTCACCTAAGGCTGCGAAGAATTCTCAAACTAGGGAGCAAGAAACAATTGCAATAAAATATACCCAGTTTGCAAGTACAAAATCCTCTGTCTCAGGACAAAGACTTTGAAAGAGGGGTCCCTAAAGTTGCTCCCTTCCCTTGCCCCCAGCACTCAGTGGCTGCAGGCTTGCACAAAATTGCATGCACTTCATTAGATTAACCCTTGCAAGACATTCCCTTTCTGCACATGCAGCAATAAATGGTTTTAGAAAGGGGCCAACTGGTTGCTTCTTGAAAATGATTGATGTATTCACATTAGACTTGATTAACTGCTGCTCTTACTTAATAGCAGTAAGCTTGCTTGGCCAAGTACCTAACTTTGGGTGAACTCTGCATTTCGTACATCTGAAATCTGTCTTAAGCAGGATCATTTTCCTCAGGGCACATATTACAGGCCTTTAATAATTCTCCATAACCTGCACTCAAAAGGCCTCTGTGAAATAATTGTGTGTCAACATTATCACAAATGTGAAGATTCACAAGGTACCTCAAAGCTAAACTTATCATATAAAATTACCAAGAGAAAAACAAACATACTTTTATAGAATTATCCAAACTGTATGACATGTGCTAGTATCAGTATTGTATTTACTATAAAGAGTTGCCTCCTCACCAACTCTTTATTCCATAAGTCAACTATGATATTCAAAAGCACATAGTCCCATGACCAACTTAAGACACTGTTAATGCAGGCTACTACCTAAAGGGGTGATTCCATGCTGAGTCTACCAGCACCAGTTTTGTATCAAGAAACTCAAGAGTTAAAAACTAATTATTGCTTTTGTTAGATTTTCAGCTGCAACGTTGCGCAAGATAATGCCAGCAAAAGCAGCCACAGTTTTTAATCAATGGCATAAGGAGTTGTTCTGCTGACAGCATAGACCACAGCTTATGCTTCAAAAGAGAATTGTTTTCTGTTTTGTTACAGTTGCCATTTAAAGTTAAAGGAGTTCTGAGAGATCACTGAACAAAAGATGAATGAACTACAGATATTCTCAATTTACCATAGCAATAAAGACTTCACTGGCAAATATTTGAGATCACTCAAAAAAAAAAAAAAAAAAAAAAAAAAAACCTCTTGCCTGTACACTCAGTCTCCAGAAACATATAGCATACAACACCTTACATCATGGACTACTGGTTGTAAAAGAAATTAAGGCATCCATTATTAACATATTGTTGTAGGGTTACTAAGTCTCTTGACAATACATATTAATCAGTACTTTTGCTAAACTATCACTTCTGGAACACATGATAGCTTTCCTCCAATTTTTGGCAGTTTCTAAGAATGAACCTACAGATGCCTGTATTTTTTAGTGCTTTAACTTTTGTTTTTAAGTTTGTATTATGAAAAGCATACTTGTATATGACTTTTTAATCACAGTTACATCAACTCTTTCAATCAACTACTAGCAACATTAGAAATCAGCAAGACTAATCCAAGACTACACAACTCCTCTAAGATACAGCAAAGACATGAAAGCTTTGCCCCTTTTGTTTTGTACAAGAACGCACGAAGTGAATCCATGAAAGCTCAGCTATGGGGCAATTCTAGATTAAGGTATAAAGACTTGATTTGTTTCTGATTTGTAAAGATGCTCTACTATGAAACTTGACCACTGCAAATAAGCCACATAAACAGATTTACCCAAGATTTTAGGTTGCCCAACGAGCTATATGAACACTTGAAGTGCTGCCTCTTGCACTCTATTTCGGCATGACAGAGACATTCTTTTCAGAAGAGGGGAAAAAAAAAAATCAGAAACAAGGTTTTAGAAGCAAAGGAAAAGTGATCTTAACCTCATTTCATAAACATCTAAAGTCATCCTAAGAAAAGTCCATACGACCCAATCTAAACACAAAAAGGGCCTTTTATCAAAACCGAACACATCAAAAAACATTAGTCTCACAATGTATTGTGCTCAACTCAGTCAGCTGTGCAATATTTTAGCCAAATCTTCCATAAGCTTGAAAGGGGTAGAGTAGAATGAAGGTTTAGACAAGGGAAGCAACAACAAAAACGTGGCACAATCAAAGTACCTAAGACTTGGAAAGGCACAATTCAATTCTCAATTCCAGGACAGAACTGTCTCAGTGAAGTGAAAACTAAGAAAGCAAGAAATACCCATTAGATCTTGAGAAAGGCTTCATCTTGCTTCTTGATATCCCCTCTAAATTCAACTCAGGTTTCTGACATTTCATTTCAGGAAAAAATATGCTAATGTTGATGAACCTAATGATGAACCTGAATGTTGATGTTTTTGTTATGAACTGGTACTGCATATAATAATCAAGAAAATCACATCACTGACTGAGCACACATCACAGAGAACACTGCAAATCTTAAGTTCTTTACTCAGAAGACCCAGGAACATGAAATATTCTGACAGCAAATGGATGCTTTTCCCAACTGCATATGAAACAAGAAAAAAAAAATCCCGCAACAACCATATAGTGAAATATTTTTATTTAGTCTTATGAAACAAACCTTCACATCTACATTTCTTTAGAAAATATACTCAATTCATATATTAAAATATTCTGTAATGTGTCATTCCTTTTTCTAAAGGGAAAAATCCCTCAGATTTGAAAGTTCTAAAGACAACATTTCATACAAATGTATTATAAATAGAAATACAGTATTTATGAACAGCTACAGAGTGTGAGAACTTGTTTCCATAGTATACTGTAAAGTTTTGTACTGTTGCATATTCCAGGTATTTTTTTCTATAGTGGTTCAATCCTTTTTTTATGAAGTTATGTCCTCTAACCAAGAAGTAATTATGGTTCTGCCCTGTATTCTATTAGCATACACCCCATTCCTGCAGGACAAATTCTCTTTTCATTTGGTTAAAATTAAGGGAGTGGCTCCTTTTTCATGGATTTTTTAAACAGGTTAGCTCCATTTTTTCTCTCCACTTGAAAAATCTTACCCTCTACTTCTGCCATTAAAGATCCAAGTATTCTTGGGGGTAGAAAAGTAGCTATTAGAAGGTGGTAACATTTTCTGGACAACGGAAGAGCTCTAGGATGTCTCTCTCTCTCTCTGCCCCCCCCCCTCCAGGAGTTAAGATTTTACTTTCAGAAAAATAAAGTTTTACATGCCATCTACGCCTTTCACTCCCTGAAAAACTTTCGACAATTGCTAGTTCTTTCCTATTAAAAGAAAAGCCATAGAAAAATTTAAGTCTGTACATTCAACAACATCAAAATATCAATTACACCTTAAGAACAAAATCATCTGTATTATGTTAACATCAGTATTAGTTCATATAGGAAAACAGAAAGTTAGAAGAGGAAAAAAAAATCCTTTGGCCACAATAATCACTCATTCCCTTAAGAATTCTCATCTTCCCATGATGGTAATTGTTAGTGCAAATGGGCAAAGCCACCACATTAGTCAACAGGGACCATTTTAGAAGCAATATCGTTGCAGAAAACGAGATAAAGCATGAAAACGATCAAGTTGCAAACAGATTAACTACCATGATTGCAACCTTGCCGTTTTCTTTCTGCTTCCCTTTGCCCTCTCTCCTTCCTGCCGCTAAGAAGAAACAAAATGGAAAGCAGCATCCTCAGAAGCATCTCTGGAAGGCGAGGAAGTGGGTAGTCAGGCGAGGGGAGAAAGAAAAGGGAAAGGGAAAGAAAAGCGCCTCCCAACGCCAAGGCTATCGAGAAACCGCGGCTGGTTACTCGCCTTGGCAGTTCCGCTCTCGCCAGGCCCCGCGCTCGGCCCGCCCCCCTTCCCCGCCTCGGGGACCTCTCCAGGGCCCGCACAGCGCTAAAGCCGAACGCTGAGTGCTCCCTTCTCACCCGCCCCCCTTCTCCAGGAAGGCCGCAACGGGCACCCGTGGGCGGGGAAGGGCCCTGGCGGCCAGGCGGCGGCCTTACCTTTGCGCAGCTCCCGCTCCCACACGCTGACGATGAGCGCCGAGTGCTTGCGGTGGTGGATGAGCCAGAGACTCAGCGTCTGCACGCTCTGCTGCGAGTTGCTGAGCTCCGACAGCTTCCGCTCCAGCGCCGTCTCCGAGAAGGCCGACATCACGGGCCTCCGCTCGGCCGCACTCAGGCCCCTGCACTCCGCCCCAGCGGGGGAGGAGCCCTGCGCTCCCCAGCCCAGCCCTTCCTTCCCTGCCCACCTTGCCGGCCGCCACTTCCGCACGGCCCGGCAGCCCGCCGCGAACAAAATGGCGGCGATTCGCCTCTTCTTGTTCGTGCCTCACTTCCAGCGGCAGAAGAGGGCCGTTCCAGCTTTTTGTGCGCGCGGCGCCCCCGTGCGTGTACCAGCAGTCTCCGCGTGTGGCGCAGCCGTTCGGCTCTAGAGGGCCCTTGGATTCAGTGTGTCCCAGCAAACGGTACGGGCTCTTTACTTCAGTGTTTTGTCTCGATCAACCCCTTTAAAAAGGCCGATCAAAATTCAAATAATCTTTTCTATCTCTCTTCGTCTTTTTTTTTCAGTTTTAGGTTTTGACACTATATTGTGGCAGAGCTGCACAGTTTAGTGATACAATAAAGTTTTTCTTCTTCAAATTGTTTCATCAGAGCTTTGATGGATGCCCCCCTTCCAGTTCTGTGTGGGAATAGTGAATGTGCGGAATGTCCAAAAAGGAGACAGAGGAGTCCTAAAACTTTATTCGAATAAAGGGAGAGTCCACGGGGCATATCCCTGTGGGGTCTCTCAAATTGCTGGAGGACGCAGCCCACCCTTTTATCCTAATTTCCTGCCCTCTCCTTTTCCCCATTGGCCAAGGTACTCAGAAGTTACAGCCTTCCCGCCAGCCTATACCGAACTCCTGCCTCTTGTCTTCTGTTCTCACCTAAGGTCACCTGACTTGCTGAAGAATGTGGGGGAATTCCCCTATTTCCCTCCTTTGTAAAGGCCCCCACCTCTTGGCAGATGGCTCTTTTTGTCCCACTCACTCATGGCTCCGCTCAGTCTCCCCTCCCTTTGTCCTGCGCTTCAGCCAGACTGTGGGGAAATCGAACATTCCGCTCAGTGAATAAAAATTGTTCTCTGCTCATATGTTGTGTTCTTTGTTGTTTTAGAGACTTCATAATGTATCACCTTCAGTATTTTTTTTCACTCAGAAGAATGCAAATGTATGCAGTATGTGCCTGTGTGAAGGATAGCCCATACTGCTGAGCGTGTGTGGCTTTTCTCATCTTCTAAAAGTGTCTCACATTCCCTCTTATTTAAACATTTAACTGACATTTTCAGGGAACTATGAACATTTCCTACAGAACTGCTCCTACAGATTTGTTCCAAAGCCAGTTTCTGAGTAGTTGATCATTATAACTTCAGACAATGTTTTTCACAGATAGATTTTTAGTATCTCTAGAAGTATATAAGTACCAGTTAGAAAATTATGCTTTTATTTTACTTTGGGGCATCCTGACAATATTTTAAATATTCACCCTTAAAAATTCTGTAACCGTTTAAACATCTAGTTGCTTCTTACTAAACAGCAAAAAGTTAATTGTGAAAAAAATGTAAAATGTTTTAAAAACTATTTTTCTCCTATTTCTTGTCTGACATTAAGAGAAGATGGCTCAATTATGAACATTCTTTTCAGTGCTTTCTCCTAATACCGGTCCATAGTGCAATCTGATTTTTTTTTCAAAAACGTATGAGCTTGGGGGTGTCACATGTTTCTGTGTGAATTCTATTCATGAATTATCTGTGGCATGTATGATTTTGGATGATTTCCAAATCATCCAGAAGCAGAAGAATTAAGGGAAGAAGCCCACAAATCTTTGATAAGTTCCATTTTTTATAAATTCACAGCAGTTTGGTAATAATGGATTGAAGAATATTTATAGTGCTTGACTGTTTTTGCTAGGTACAGAAGAGGATGCTATTGATATTATGTAGAACTGGTCACTGAAGTAAAGATAGATGTAGCACAGATGCAAGCATTATAAAAAATTAAATATGAATAGTAATTTGGAAGTTAACATTCAAATAATATTCTCCAGAGGCACACATCCAGAAGTTAGCAGTGGAAAATTTTGTGGGCAACTATGGAAAAAAAAAACATAAATTTCTCTCAAAATATTGGATAAAAAGAAATCTGGCAACCAACTAGGCAAAATTCAGATGTTAAAGCAGGAAAGATTAAAAAAAAATAGCAGGAAACAGGTAGAAAATTTTGGTAGTAATTACAGCAATGCTTGTTAGTGCTTCCTTCATCCCAGATCTTCAAATCATTTTATAAACAAGGATTAATCCTCCGAGATAGGTATTTTGTTTATTCTGCACATAAATACATTGAACACTGAGAGACTGATTATTGCATATTATACAGCAAAACTGAGATATCACTCCATTTATAAGTCTTTATAGTACATTTTAAAAATTTTATTATAAATGTTTACATCAAAAATCTAGGTCTAAAAGCTATTCTCATCCAGTCAGGAAATGGAAGTTTTTAATGAGTTTTGAAGTCATCTGAATCTCAAACAACAAGTATTCACAAGTATTCTTCATTTGCTGTGGAGTTTGAAAATCTCATCTTTATTTCAGAGAACAATTGCTGAATTATTTATAGAATCACAGATTAGTTGGTGTTGGAAGGACCCTGTGGAGATCATCTGATCCAACTCCCATTCTCAAGCAGGGTCAACTTGAACAGGTTGCTCAGGACTGTGCCCAGTTGGATTTTTGTATCTCTGAGGATGGAAACTCTAAAAATTGTGAATAACCTGTTCCAGTGTTCAGCTGCTCTCACAGTAAAAATATTTTTCCTTATGTTCAGACTTCCCATGCTTCAGTGTGTTCCTATTGCTTTTTGTCCTGTCACTGGGCATCACTGAGAAGTATCTGGCCCTGTCCTCTTTGTATCCTCCCATCAAATATTTAGAAACATTTATGAGATCACCCTGAGCCTTCTCTTTTTTAGGCTAAACAGTCTCAGCCCCTTCACTTGCTTTGAATAGATACACCCAGCTCTGCAGGGACAGAGTTGCAGACAGATGTCAATTTTTCTTCCCATTCTGGTGTTCAAACTATAATATCACCTTTCTCTAATTTCCTAAGAGCAAAATTATGTCCTGCTGATTCTGCACTTCTGAGTCATCTCCACTGGTTAGTGATAATCTGCTGTGTTCTCTATACCCAGAGAACTGGCCCCATTAAGTTCTAATGCAGTGTGAAATAATTCATGAGTTGATGTTTTTGTGGAACATTTGTCAGGACACTCCAGGTAATTCAAAATGTAATTATATCTCAGACTGCACTAGCAGTCACCAAAAGGCTGTGCAGCATCTGCACACTTTAAGTCTCTTTGTGCTTCTCTTTTACTCTCACTTAAGGACAATCCCATAAAATCTCTTTTAAGTGGGAAATTTCACCCCAGTGACTGGAGGTCTGAATTTCTCTTACCTTGAGGGAATCTTGGGAAGTGTTTTAGCACTAAGAAGGGCTGATCTGTCTCTAAAATAACAGTGCTTATAATGCACTTTAGAAAACATCAACTCTCCACATACATGCACAAATGCCATCAGTCCATGTCATTCTGTTTTGTGGGTTTTTTTGCCGTTCTTTTCTGTTTTTGACAAATACCTAAACACTTGTGCTGTCCAGCCTTAATTTGAAGAGAATGAATTCTTGATTCTACCAAGATGCTAGTGGCCTGCAGTATCTTGACTGTATCATAGGTCTTGACCTACCATAGGTCTGTGTCACAACTGTTTCAAGCCCCAAATATATATATATATGTACACTTCTCTTCCTGGGTCCCTCCAACTCATTATCAGAAGGTTGATCCCTGTTTCTTGGACTACACAGCTTTCAGCAGAGCTTGCATGACTCGCTATATTCTTGAAGTAATGATCAAAATGAAGCTGCCACAAGGCAGGAGCATGCTTTCTTTTATATCCAGAAATTATAAAAGCAGAGAAACAAGATAACATAGGTTTATGTATTTTCTCTGAAACTGGGAGGAAAAGGCAAAAGTTGAAAGATGGACATAGTATTCGGATGGATAAGACAGATTGTCTATAACAACTCGGTATCTTTCATATTTCAGATAGGGCCAAGGGAATGGGTAACTTTGCTTTGGTTGATAGTGTGCCCAAAGCAGCAAAATGGGCACAGCTCTATTACTAACAATTCAGCAGCATTACAAAAACATGCCCTTGAGTGTAACACAGTGTATTGCTGGAGATGTTGGGCAGCCCCTCACAGGAGCAGCAGTCTTCACTATCACCAGCTCTTCCAGTCGTCTACCAGGAGGTGTAACAAGCTCACTTCTGCAAGACCTGCGTTCTTCTTGGATCTCTGTCCCAGCTCCGCTTTTTTATTTTCTTCTCTTCTTTCCCATGGAAAGGATGGTTTGACACATCTTATCCCTCCGACTTTCAAATGTTGCTCCAAATAGTACTTTGCATTTACTTGAGGCTGCTCTATCCACATTAATTCACAGACTGTTTTTAAATAATCTAAGCATCCTTTGGTCAAGATTTTATTCTTAATATAGCCAATCCAAATTGGTTTATGGAAAAAAAATCACAATCTTCTTTCAATGGATTCAAGTATCGTTACTAAGCCCAGATGAAACTTGTTATTGTCTGCATTCCAGTGTTCACGTAGACAGATTTAATATGAATTGGTTGCTATACTCCACAGAACAGCATTCTTTAACCACCAATTCCAAGAGTTATATGCCATTTTAAAAGAGTAAATACCAGTTGACTACTTCTTTGCTTTTCACAAAGTCTAAATGTCTTGTTTCATGGTTTGTTGAACACAAACCTGAGCATCTCTTAGTTTCTGAGTCAATTTTAACTTATTTGCTTCCTTCAGGGTACTTCACTGTGGTATTCCTCCCCAAGCAGCTGCCACCTTTGTAAGTAACTCCCACTTGGAAGCCCAGAGGTAGCACTGGGTGACTTACTTATTCATAGGAATATTCTCTGCTTCATGGACTTATTTAGGAAGCCTTACTTCACTTCAGGACATAGAACAGTAAACAATATGTGTATATTCTGGTTTACTACACATTGCTCATCAGCCATATATGAACTGAGATGATATGGACACAAACTCAAAACTTCTCTGTTCTGTGTGGTGACTTGCCGTTATAGAACAAAATGAGCTCTTGGATCAGAACAGAGTAGATCTTGCTCTCTGTGGAACTTGCTGCTTTTACTATTTTCTGCTTTGGTTTTGAAGCTTTTCTCAGAAAATATC